GTTTGGCAATTTTATCCCAATCTTTGGGTAATTGCAATATAATCTCGACCTCAATTTACTTGTTGCAAATTTGGGTGCAGAGCGATTGATTTTAGGGATTTGTGGATTGATTTTGTGTCCAAGTCGTCCATGGACACGGGTTTTTATGTCATTCACGTAGCAAGTTGACAATTTCCACGTATTTAATGCATATCCACGCACAAAGCCGAAAATTCCTCGTCAATGTAAGCTACCAGTGATGAGTCTTCTCCTAGATTTGAAGTGAACCGGTAAATATGAGCTCCGATCTGTTCGAACCGCCTTCAAATTGACTAGTTTTTTGAAGGTCCAACCGGTTTTAGGTTTGACTTGCAATAAATAAATTGAGGTCGAGATTATATTACAATTACCTAAAGATTGGGATATAATTGCCAAACGCAAAAAGGTTAAGGTTTATTTAGCAATTAACCCTATATAGATTGTACTCACATTGAGTGGGACCTACTAAAATTAAAAAATCAAGTGGAGTTCATCCATGTGAGTGTTATGTACATCTTTATGTACATTTATTATATACATGTAGTATTTTTCTTTTTTTTTTTTAAGTGTGGTTTATTTATATTATAATAAATTGGACTTCTGTTTTTAATAGCAACTTTGGTGAGGTTTTATAAATTGCACGTGAGGTTTGCAAAACCAAAACCTCCCATAAAACTTCATGTGGGCCCTTTTTTAAATAAAGATAATAAGTGAAGTTATAGTTTTAAAATATTAATAAAAATATAAGAGTAGAATATTAATAAAAATAAGTCGTAAATATGTGAGACTCATGGAAACTGAGGTTTATGGGATTTATTGTTATGGGACGTTTATGAGCGTAGGAGTGATGATGAGATTTTGGATAATACGACGTGTTACGAAGTATAAAAGTGAGATTTATGAAGTTGGGAAATGTAAAAGTGGGTTTTATGGAGGTTTATGAAATTTTATGGCTAAAGATAGGAATAGGATGAAGTATTATAAAACATTGTATAGAAGTGTTATAACTTACATATCGTTGATATCCGGATCGGTCCGACCGGGAATTATCGGTTCGGCTACAGGAACCGGGGGGAACCGGCCACGTAGCTAGGGCCAGGCCGTTGGCCGAAGCCGAGTGCCGAGCTGCCGAGCTGATTAAAAGATAGAAGTTGGTAACAGCGTCGTCCCGGATACTTGTT